ATATATTAATAATTAATTAGTAAAAGATAATATCAGATTATTAAAGTTATTTACAAGACATGAAGTCTTATTTATATTAAAAAAAAATAGCAGCCTATAATTATATATAGATTATTAATTATTTAATATAATTATAATTAAGAACTAGTATCCTTTACTCTTGATCTTGAAGATCCAAGACAAGATATAAGAAATAAAATAGTTTACTAAACTTAATATTACTAATATATATTATTATATATATATTACAGAAGGTGAAGAATGGAAAACTGTATTTAAAATAAAATATAAATATTATGAATACTTGATTATATTATTTAAACTTATTAACATGCCTGTATTATTCCAATGATATATTAATAAGATACTAGAAGAATATCTTAATAAATTTATAATTATTTATTTAGATAACATTCTGATCTTCTCAAAAACTGAGGAAGAATATATTAAGTATGTAAGACTTATTCTATATAAGTTATATTTATATAAGCTATAATGCAAGCTCAAGAAATATGAATTCCATGTATAGAAAATAAAATTTCTAGAATACTGGATATCCACGGAGAAAGTCTATACTGAGTAAGCTAAAATATAAGCTATTTAAAACTGGTCTTAATCTAAGAATCTAAAAGAATTATAACAGTTTGTTAAATTAGTTAATTACTATTGATAATTTGTGGATGGATATATTATTTATATAATACCACTGTTCGAGCTCATGAAGAAAATACAAGAATATAAATAAGAAGAACTACAGTAGTATGTATTTAAAAATATTAAATACTGACTTACTATGTTACCAGTACTAGTACAGCATGATCCAGAAAAGGAAACCACTATTAAAACTAATATATCAGATTATACTATTAGCATGTGTATGACACAGCCAGGAGATAACAGAAAATCTAGATTAATTATATTTTACTTAAAAAAATTGGTTCAGGCGGAACTCAACTATAATATCTATAATAAAAAACTGCTAGCTATAATAATAGTATTTAAACAATAAAGAGTCTATCTTGAAGAAACTAAATATACTATTATTATAAAAATAAATTATAAAAACTTGACCTACTTCATAATAACTAAGAAATTAACCAGAAGACAGGTAAGATAGATAAAAATTCTATTATAATATGATTTCTGTATTATATACTGTAAGGAAATAGAAAACGGACATGTAGATATATTTAGTCACAGACCAGATTATAAATTAAAAGAAAAAGTTATCAAGCCAGCTATTCTAAAATAGAATAAAGATAGATTGATCAGCTATAATAAAGCTAATCTTATAGTAATACTGGAGATAGATAGTAATCTAACTAAGTAATTAACTGATGCTATCAAAAATAATAAAGTATTTTAAGAAATAAGTAAAGGCTTACTGGATAAGATTATTATTAATAAAGAAGGATTAGTTTATTTTTATAAATTAATTTTTATACCAACCAATATAAGAACAGAGATTGTGGTTATATACTATAATAAGCTATTTAAAGAATACTTAGGAATTGAAAAAACTACTAAATTAATTATTAGAAATTATTATATTCTAAATCTCAGACAAAAGGTACGCGACTACATGGGATAATGTGAAATATATATTAGAAACAAGCCCGCGAGGCACTAATCCTATAAATAAATATAGATATAGAAGATATTATAATAACTATAGGAATAAATAATAATTAACTTTATTAGTCTACTACCCGAATTGAAAGAATATAATGTTATTATAATTATTATTAATTATCTTATTAAATACATCCATCTCGTACTAAGTCAAACAACGATGACAGTAATATAAATAATAAAACTATTTTTGGGAAATATTATTATAAACCACGGGATGCTAAAATATATTATATTAGATAGAAATAAATTATTTATTTTAAAGTTCTGGAGGTCACTCACCGACCTTATGAAAATTAAAGAATAAATGATAACAGCTTATTACTTGTAAATAAATGAATAAACGGAAAGGATTAATCAGATAATTAAATAATATTTAAAATATTATGTAAACTATTAGTAAGATAATTAGGTAGACCTGTTATCTATAATATAATTTTTATATAATAATACTAATTATTTGATAATCGGGGTCTCACCATTCTATGCTAATTACAGTTATTACCTGAGATTCCTGGAAATACTGATAGGGAAGCAACTAGTTGCTGATATAACTAAAAATATTATGATATTTACAGAAAATATATATATCCAGTTATCCTGAGATATTAAATTCATGAATCTATAAAGTAAAATTTACTATGATTACTGATATAAAAAGAAACCTGATCTGAAAAAAAGAGAGAAAGTATTTCTATTTTATAAAAATATTAAGATAAAATAATTAAGCCAGAAACTTAATTACTATAAACTAAGACTATTTGTTATTGAAGAAAAGAAAGGACCAGTTAATTATAAATTAAGATTATTGAAATTAATAAATAAAATTTATCTAGTGTTTTATATCTTATTATTAGAACCCGCACCAAAGAATGCTAGAATCGCAGAAAATATGGAAATTAATAATAATACTGAATAAGAATATAAAGTTAAAAGAATTCTGGACTATAAGAAGATTAGTAGCAAGTTATATTATTTAGTAAAATGGGAAGGTTATGATATCTTAGAAAATATATAAGAATTTATTGAGAATTTGACGGGCTGTTACCAGCTTGTGGAATAGTACTACCAGCAGCAAGATCGAAGTTCGTCCAGAAGGAAGAAGAACTAATTAATTAAGTTAGATTAGGATTATTTGATACAGTGGCAAGTTGAGTAGTATTATACTTATTAGCTAGATATTCTAGTTCTTAAAGATTTTCAGTGTTTAAAGAATCCTTCTTATCTAACTGTTCTAATATATTTGAGTTGTGATCCAGTATCTGCTTACCATGATTCTTTAAGAATTATTATTATTTAAATAAATAAGTTATCTTAGTAGAAATACAGGCTTGCTTGGCTAAAGTTTTAGTAAGTTTATTTTATATTTTTGATTGATTTTGTTTTAAATTATTTTATTTTTTATTATTATGAAACCGCTTCTTGTATTTCTAATTATAATAAGTATAAGCAGCACAATTTCAGCTCTTCAAATCTATGATATAAGAAATATCTTTTAGGAAGTAATGTTTATAGGAATTTTTAATGATATAACTATTTTTATAAATCTTATTAGACTAACGAATACGCTCTTTTATTTAATTATAATTAGTATAGCGGCGAGACATGTTGACCTATCCTGGAGAAGAAAAGAAACTGAAGGATTTGGTTAATATATAAGAAGAGAATATATATTTTTATATTTTTTGAAAATAAGAAATCTTGAAAAAGAAGAAGTGATGTTATAGATCTCTGCTAATTAATTTATTAATAAGACAGACTTACCAGATAGAAAATACTGATAAAGGCAGTGCTCGGGCAAAGCTAAGTTATTATTTAATATAATTATAAATTGTTAATATGATGTTCAGAACAGTCACGCATCATGTGACCACCTACCATCAAGTCTACCATCAAGGGTATACTTAAGGTATACTGGGATTTTAAGCTATGATTAGATTGACCATTGATCTATCCAGAATGGTATATAATATGGTATACAGAGAATAGAATATATAAGAATATTTTTTTATATATTTAGTTAGTTCTGTTCTTTATGCTCAATAATATTGTTTTTAAGTAATTATATGTTTGGAAGCTTAGTAATAGAATACTTGTCTGTACTTATTTATAAATAGCTGTGTAATATTATCTGGTCTTACTTCTCTTCTTGTGTCTAAGATTAGTTATTCTTAGATAGTCATCAGCTTGATACCCCCTCGATCCAGTTCGACGGTACGTATACCAGTGAAGCTAAGCTAACCAGGACAGGGAAGCGATCCTAGGGTTTGACAATAAGGCAAAAGAAGTAATAATAATATAATATAATTATGAATATAAAGAAAAGACCCTCCAGATAAGACAGGAAATTATAATATAAGCCAAGAATATTATAACTATTTATCCAAATATAAAGCTTAATTACCGGTAAATCAGACTGTTTCCAATAATCAATACCTGGGGATTGCAGTTATATAAATTATAACTATTACTAAAATATAAAGATCTATATTTAATCTTTTATATCTTATTTTTAGAATTTTATTATCTCTAAACAGGCAAGCTCTACCGACCACCCCTGATATTAATTAACAGATATTAAAAATAGTTAGTAGACAGGATTCTTATATACAGAACCAAGGAAGTCCAAAAAGAATTTCTAATATAATAATAAGATTATAATTTTGAAAAAGATACCTGAAAGCTTCTTATAAATATTAAGAATATATAAGTCTACTAGAATTAGCTATCTGTGACAACCTAAAGACTACTATGACTAATCAAGTCCGAATGAAGCCTGTGTATTCATGAGGACTAATAAATCTAGAGAAGAAAGGAAAAGATTATCTAATCCCAGGGATTAAGCTGTCTTATATATTTTCAGAGATTAATCCCTGTTTGACAAGTCCTGTTTCTTTCCTACTTTCTTTTACTAATTTTTTTATCAGTTTCTCTGATTTCTTCTTTCTATCTCCCGGCTGGCTCCTGTCTTATTATCCAGCAAGTCCCGTGTCCTGATTATCTCCTTAAAAATTGCTGTCAGTAATCCTCTGAGTCTGTGAGGTCACGTGACCCGTGTGATATAGTTATGTAATATATTATATAATAACTGAGGTATTATATATCCCCCCTTTTTAAGTGTGACTGTTCCTAGATATGAGATTCCAGTATTCTGCTGTATTATCATCTTTATGATCTGTAGGGAACGTGTTGTTTGCTGCTGTATCTAGTTAGTAAGTGAGCCGTACTGGCAGTCCTGCATATATCAGGTATTTCTCATGGAATACACGGAGTTTGGCAGAAGTGTTTTTGAAATTCTCAGTATTATACTATTTACTGTCTGGTATATCCATGTCTGCTTATTTCACTCTGTATTATAGTTTTATATCTTATATCTGGCTGGATAGGATCTCGTCGACTTCGTACTCAGTAGTATTATTAATATATAATTCTGGTATATCGTCCAGCCGCTGGCCCGGAAGTGGGCGGAGTCTTAATTCTACTCTTAATTTATTTGGGCTGAAAATTGGGTTGACTTTAATATCTTCTAGTAGATTAATTAGATAAGTATAACCCACTCAGTGGAAAACTTTATATAAACTTATCCAATAGTCTGATAGCTTTCAACTAGACTATTCCAGGTTTTAATCTTTAGTAGTAATATATATCTTCTGCTCTACCTGGAATGTTTTATTCCATCTGTGCTTGTTTACCTGTGTTGATTACCTTGTCTGGGCGGTGAGAATACCGGAGTAGATAAATTTCCAGATCTCTGCTATCTTAGCTGCCCATTGCTTGGCTTCCTGGCGGTTAATATTCAGTTTACGCGGGGGCTGTGGTTCTGTCCAGTCAAAGGATATATAAGATTCATACCCTTGTTTAATAAAAAAGAGGGACTATTCTGTAATCTTACTTAGCAGGACTGAAGCTGCAAAATCTAGAATTAGTAATAGATTAGACCAGTTATCTTAGTAATAATTCACGAAGGGGATCAGTCATTGCACTATATATTAATTTATAATCTCTGTCTGGCCGTCGGTCTGTAGATAATAAGAGATAAATAATTTTAGCTTAATCTCTAATCTTATACATAATTCATCCCAGAAATCCGTGATGAACTGAGAATCCTTGTCAGACATAATTATATTAGAAAACCCTGCGTGCGCGTAGATATATTATAAAAATAATTATACTATTTCTTATAAGTTAATAATTTTTTAGTATAGAATGGAGCAAGTCTTCTTTATAAATCAGTCTATAACCACAAAAACTGCCTCATAGCTGTGTTCATCAGGCAGGAATAAGTGGAAATCCATCAAAATATACTGTTAAGATTAATCCGGGACTGGCAGCGGTTACAGTAATCCCAGCAGTCGGTTGCGCCGTATGTTCTTGCGGCAATATATCATATAATTTTTGATATAACTGCGCATGTCTTTGTTTCATGTGGGCTAGTAGTATTATTCTTTAACCAGGATTCTTATCTTCGTAATGCCCGGGTGGGCTGTGGATGGCTGTTAATAGATTTCATCCAATAATCAGGCCCGCAGATTGCTGTCATCCGGTATAATTAATCTGTTACGGAACTGTAATAATCCCTCCTGTATTATCCAGTCTTTGTCAGCTTCTGTAGTGAGATCTCAGTATTCTTGCAAGAAGTCATAGATTCAATTAACCTGCAGTACCTGGTTTATAATAGTCAGGATAAGATCTAATAATACTAGAAAGACTAATAAAACTTCAGATATATATTTTTTATTATTCTGGACTGGCTATATTCCTAACTCTAATTATTCTAGTCTCAGTAAAGTCTGATTTCAGTAATTCTTATTATCTTTCAAAGTATCAGTTCACTATATTAGTATATTTACGAGAATATTCTCTTTGCCAGGTTAATAACAGATTAAAAAATAGAAGTAGGAGAGTAATTCAAGCTATCAGGTTTATCAGATATTAAAATACTTGCTTATTATAAAGTATTCTAGTAAGTAATAGTCAGTATATATACTAAACTGCTCAGTTTACTGGAGTTCTTTGAGCTCGGGTCACTATTCTTCTAAAAAATATATAATCACCAGTATTTTCTTGTCATGGATATTATAATTCTATTCCGCCGGGACCATAATCTTTGAAAAATAAACTATAGAATACCAATCTTCTCTGTTCTTCTGTGACAGGACTCCTGCAATAATACTATTTACTATATCAGTTTCCAACTGGGTTTCTCAGGTCAGGTTATAAATCACCAGAATCAGGGCGCTTGTAAGTATCTTTTTCAGCTGCTGGAAGGTATCTTAGCATTACTTTATTTATTTAAACAGAACTTTATCTTTGGTCAGGTATATCAGTGGGCGGGTAATCTGGTTATAATTTTTAATAAACTATTAGTAGAAGTTATAAAATCCTAGGAAGAAGTATACTTCCTGTACTGTAATAGGTACTCTCCAGGACTCTATCATACTAATCTTATCAAGATTAACCGCGACGCTGTCCTTGCTAATAATAAACCCAAGGTATTTTGTTTTAGTAATATAGAATTTATATTTATAGATAGCAGCTTATAATCCTGCCTCTTAGAGATGCTTTAGAATCTTCTTAATATAAATTTCATGCTCGATCTCGTTGTTGCTGTAAATGAGGAGATTGTTGATGTATATAGTTATAAACTAGTCTAAATATTCTATTAGTATCTTGTTAATCAGCCGCTGGCACGCGGCTGGTCTGTTTAATAGTCTGAAGAAAAGTATCTTGTATTTAAATATTTTATATCTAGATTAGAAGGTGGTAAGATCTTCTGAGTCTGGATATATATAGATCTGATAGAAGATCTGTCTAATATTAAGCTTAGTAAAGATTCTTGCTTTGCTGATATAGCATAGTATTTTATTAATCAGAGGAAGCAGGTACCTATCTTTTTTAATAATAATATTTAATTTTTAGTAGTCTATATAAAAGTGCAGACCTCCGCCGGGTTTAACTGCTATCAAGATAGAGGATGTAAATAGTACAGTATTAAATATAATAAAGTTTTTATATAAATTCTTTATTATATATTCTTTTGCTGCTTCTAGTTCTTCCAGTATTATTTTATAAAATAGGATGTACCTAAAGTAATACTCATTTTCAAGTTCAATTTGAAAGTCTATTTTACAGGACAGTGGTAGTGTATCTGAAGTAGTCTTTAAGAAAATATTAATATATTTATAATAAATAGCTAGTAATTATTTTATAATTTCTATTTATTTTTTTTTTCTTCAGCTTGCTGTTCTCTTTTCTTGTTATCGATCACCCGGTCTAGTTTATAGAGGGAGATTATGAAAGTTGTAGTATTTAGATTTTAAATATAATAAAGTATTCCGGCACTGTTAATTAGCATGATATTAAGTTTTAGATTATTATACAGTTTCTATAGTATTTTTTTTCCCTCGGTTTTAGGTTTCCCCGGTTCTAGTGGTTCATCCGGAACATGGAGTTCATGGTTTATACAGGCTGGTATATACCTAGTATCTTAATAAAGGTTTTCATGGAAAACTGTATTTTAATCTCTTATATTTATCTGGGGGCCACCGCCAGGGGTTTCTACTCTGGTATTATTATATAATAGGGTTTGTAGCGGCTCTAGTCCGTTCTTGTCATTGGAGATCAGTGATTTAAACTAGATAATAATTTTATTAATATAGTTCAGCAGTAGTTTTTGTTCTTTCAGCCATACTTGGCCCAGAATAATATCATAATTCCCTATATCAAGAATTAAGAAGAGTTTGTTTTAGAAGATTTATTTATCTACTATAAGATTCAAGTAAATAATATATATTAATCTGCTAGTTTCTTTTCTGTTATATCCTGCGACACTGCTGGGTATTTTTAATGGAATAATTTTCAGGCCAAACTTTTTGGCTAGTTTAATAACAAAAGGGATATTTATACAATTGTATATATTTATTCCAGAGTCAACAAGAATTCTAGCGGTGGTCATAGTACTAGAATAGAAAATCAAAGTTTTAATTGAAAAACTAGATTCTTGATTATTTAATAAATTAGATATATCAGGAGTCTGTTAATTTATATCTGTCCTGTCTAGAATAAAAACTTCTTCTAGGCAGTATCTTTTTCTGGTTCAGGGCTGGCAGTTTTTTTCTGAGATTCTTTAATTGGGATTTCTAGTATTTTAAACTCTTCCAGGTATCTGTTTTTTATTTAATAACTAGTTCTTCTGTAATTAAAGTAATATTCTTCTTTTATATACTGTTGTTGCTCTGCAGCATTTCGCGCTTTTCTAAAGGACTAGTCTGCTGAGGCTGTAGTATTATTCCAGGGTTTAGTTGCAGGGAACTTAGCCGTGGAGGCTCCAGGAAAACTATTATTTAAGTCTGATTTTATAATAATAAAAAAGGCTCTTTTTTAAGTATTTCAGATCTTGATATTCTTTAGTTAATTAGATATCTGGGCATAATAGTTCATGAACTCCTGAAAGGAACTGTTTAATTTGCTTATTTTAAATGTAATTATTTCAGCTAATTTACCAGATAGTCAGTGGTAGAGTTCTTTCTATTATTCTGTTCTAGGAACATGGGCTTTGGTTATAAGATATATGAACTGGGATTAGAATATATAGAATTTGTCAGGTTTTTTTATGAAGAGGGCTCGGAATTTGTTCTTTATAATAAGCAGTTAATTTAGATTTTTATAGATTTTTTTAAGGAATCTCAGTATATCTTCAGTATTTTAAAAGATGTCCTGCCCGTGGGCTTCAGTATAAGATATAATATGAGTCAGGGTGTCGCCTTTGCAACAACTGCGGATGTACACTTGTCGGAGGGTCGGGGTACCAAAATAGTCAATATTTACCAGTAATTTTTAATATATTTAATTCTTTTATTCTTAATAATGGGGGATCTTGCCATTACTCAGTACAGAAAGATTAAAGAACTTAGTACTCTTCTTAACTATAATAACAGGCTTTAAGAAGGAGAGTCAGATCTTATATTTCTATTTTTTCTTAATAATTTATTCAGCAAGTAGCTTGTATCTTATTATTAGATTTTTATAAAATATCTTCCAGTTTCTTTCTGTTTTTTTTTTTATTAGCTTAGTAGAAGATTTCTGTTATCTTCTCTGAATTTAAGATTATTTAATCTCTCTATTTCTATTTTTCCAGCTTATTTTCTTCTTAGGATTCTTATTCCTGGGTCCGGGAGGGCTCAGGGGTCAGAATTATTTTAAGTTTTAGATATTCTATCTGAGTTTCTTACTACAGAGAGATCTGGGGTTCGGAGGAGGAGATATCTTTCAGTATTTTAGAACTATTTATATCTGGTCAGTTAATCTTTTGTTAGTGTTTTTTTTTTTAAAGCAATGCTGAGGTGCTTATAAAGAGGTGATAACTAGTAAGTTTTCTGAGAAAAAGTTTCTTCCAGAAAAAACTGTATATCAGTTTTATTATGAGAAGAGAATAGGCGAGATTCATTAGTTATATAATAATCTAAAAATTATTATAATTAATCAAGTCCGAATGAAGCCTGTGTATTCATGAGGACTAATAAATCTAGAGAAGAAAGAAAAAGATTATTTAATCCCAGGAATTAGACTATTTTATATATCTTCAGAGGTTAATCTTTATTTAATAAGTCCTGTTTCTTTCTTATTTTTTTTATTAATTTTTTTATCAGTTCTTCTAGTTTCTTTCTTCTATCTCCCGGCTGGCTCCTGTCTTGTTATCCGGTAAGTCCCGTGTCCTGATCATCTCCTTGGGGATTGCCGTCAGCAATCCTCTGAGTCTGTGAGGTCACATGACCCGTGCGATGTGGTCACGTGGTGCGTCATGTGACGACCGAGGTGTCACACTATCTCAACCAAGACAGAAAGCAGCGCCTAATTACTAATAAAGATAATATAAATAACTTATTATTATATACTTTCTACTAGTAATCACGCATTACAAAAAGACATGATATGTATGTATACAGTTAATTATTATTTAATAATTAATTAATTATAAAAGAAAAACAAAAGAAAGTACTAAAATATACTTAATTATCTATCTAATCATATACAAATACTAAATTAAGTAAAATAATTAATATTATATAAATTAATTAACTTACACTCTTATACTACTCTTATATTATTATATATACCCGAATAAAGCATCCCAAACGCGGGTAAAGAAAGAGAAAGTAATAGTAACAGACTGTATATTCTTATTATTCTTACAGCTGGATCCCCGGGACTGGTAGACTGCATGCTGGAAGGCCGTTACCGCCATCTTGAGTATAATCTAGCGCGAGGCATTACCAGACTGTGTCCAGCAATGGTGGTAGATCTCCACAACAGTAGCTGCTAAGTAGCAATACTCACCGGGAATCTATTATATGAGTTAGCTGGAATTCACATCTAACATGTCTAATATAAGGAAACTACTTACTGACATGCAGGGGTGGCGGTTCGCCGAGCATTGATTATACTTAATGCAGCCAGCAGGGACCATACAGCGGAGAGCACTGTCGGGGCAAGCCCCCGCAAAGGCGAGGTACTGGCGGCACTAGAGGCGCGCGGGACGGCCGCGGCGCGCGGGAGGGGGAGGGACGACGACGGCCACGGCGACAGCAGGCGCGGCGGGCGAGACAGGCGCGGCGGGGGAGGCAGGCACGGCGGCAGCGTCAGCGGCGGCGGAGGTGTTAGCAGCAGCAGCAGCAGCAGCGCGGGCGGCAGCACGGGCGCAGGCAGCGCGCGAAGCGCGGGAAGGGCGAGCCATCTTTGTTAAACTTTTCTGCTAATTTCTTAGCAAACGGTCACACACCTGGCCACGCACTTCCAAAAGGGGAGAAGGAAATCGGCAGCCCAATACAAAGGTACACACAATATATAACCAAGCTGCATACAAACTCGCGATCTGCATAATACAGCCATTTCTCATACAAAGCGCAGAACACGCATCCTCGCCATATAAATTGCCATACAAACCACCGCCCACGTAGAACAGCAAGGAAAACGTATCAGATAACTGCTTCTATAAAATAACAAAGGAAAACGTGCAAGCAAGCTATTTTTATGTAAAAGAATATAAACAACACAAAAAGATATTAGAAATTACTACTACTGAGTAAGCAAGCCAGTATAATAATATACTATAGAAAAGAAAGAGAAGAGGTTTATAAAAAAAAAAAATAAAAAAAGAGATTCCTGATCTTATATAATTTGCTATCGCAAACTAAACACAGCAAATAATAAAGCTATTTACAGACAAGTTTTTGCATACTAGGATACAGGGCTGCGAGGCTACATTTACTATTCTATACCAGTCCACTGTAAGACGCGCACGCGGTGTTACTCCTACGCATAGAGACCCCAGGTTACGTGTTAACAGTAGGAAAGATTACAACCGAGATATTCTGATTAATCAGATCTTTGCGACTTTCTGACTTTCTAATTAGAAAGTATGCGAAGCTATACAGACCCCTTTACAGCTGCAGGGACGCAGCCTCCGGGAGGAGAGGATAATGTTAGAGCAGAGCCACTAGTTCACTGCGATCCAGCGGGTCACGTGAGTAACACACAGTCACAGATCACATGGATCTGGCAAGGTCATGTAACTTACTTATATATTGCACCTCGCTGGCCCCCCCAACACTGCGGGAGGCCAGCGATCAGTTCCAAGCAGTATAATAGCTAATGTTCACACATATAATCAAACTTATCACGTCTCCTACATCACCCCTAATAAATTATTTATCTAAATGCGAAGCTTGACCACCGGCAAATCAGATTATTTCCAATAATTAATATCTGGAGATTACAGCTATATAAATTATAACTATTACTAAAATATAAAGATTTATATCCAGTCTTTCATATCTTACTTCTAGAATCTTATTATCTCTGAACAAGCGAGCTCTACCGACCACCTCTAATATTAATTAACAGGTATTAGGAATAGTTAGTAAATAGAATTTTTATATATAGAACTAAGAGAGTTTAAAAGAAATTTCTAGTATAATAATAAAATTATAACTTTGAAAAAGATACCTGGAAGCTTTTTATAAATATTAAGAATATACAAGTCTACTAAGATTAACTATCTTAATTAAGACAGAAAACAGCGCCTAATCACTAATAAAAGTGATATAAATAACTTACTATTATATATTTTCTACTAGCAATCACGCACTACAAAGGGACATAATATGTGTATATATAATTAATTATTATTTAATAATTAATTAATTATAAAAAAAAAATAAAAAAAAGTACTGAAACACACCTAATTACCTATTTAACTATATATGAACATTAAATTAAGTAAAATAATTAATATTATATAAATTAATTAATTTGCACTCCTATACTATCTCTATATTATTATATATACCCGAACAAAGCACCCCAAACGCGGATAAAAAAAAAGAAAATAATAATAACAGACTGTATATTTCTATTATTTCTATAGCCGGATCCCCAGGACTAGTAAATTATATACTGGAAAACTGTTATTACTGTCTCAAGTATAACCTGACATGAAACATTACCAGGCTGCGTCCAGTAGTAGTAATAAATCTCCATGATAGCAGCTACTAAGTAGCAATATTTACCGGAAATCTATTACATAAGTTAACTAGAATTTATATCTAATATATCTAATATAAGAAAACTACTTACTGATATATAAAGATGGCAGTTTACCGAGTACTGATTATACTTAATATAGCCATTAAGAACCACACAGCAGAAAGTACTATTAGAACAAGTCTCTGTAAAAATAAGATATTAGTAGTACTAGAGATATACAGGACAGCTGCAGTATATAGAAGAGAAAAGAATAATAATAGCCATAGTAACAGTAATTATAGCAAGTAAAACAGGCACAGCAGAAGAAATAAATATAGTAGATAAAACAGATATAAAAAGAAAAATAAATACAGTATTAATAATAATAAAAATAATAGCAGCAGCAGTAATAATAATACAGACAGCAGTATAAATACAGACAGTATATAAAATATAAAAAAAATAAGCTAT